AAGGCCAGCTCATTGGTGTATGTAGGTGTATTCGAATATATAATATAAACAGTTTAAGAATATTTGTGAAGTAATTGTAAAATTATGTACATATTGCTCACGGAATTTATTTTAACGTAAATGAAAATGTATTTCACTTTAACGTCATTTTATCGTATCAATGTTTAAACATTTCAAGCGTTTTATTACAAATCATAGAATATTGTCTAAATTTAATTTTTCAAAGAGAAATTTCTGTTTGATTTTACTCCGAAAAGTGATACACCAATATTGCTGAAGTATATTGAACTTTTTTCATGACTTCGTTTCGCAGTCATTGATAAATACTTTTTGCAGAATAAAGGATTTTTATTGATTATTTTTCCGACCCAAATATCGACCAATAGAATTGCACCATTCGACGTCACGTGGTACAACCTACATGGTATTATACTGATAATTTTTTGAAAATTTTCTCTGGTAGTTGCTTCAAGAAAAGTATTAAGTAGTTGTTTTATTCATTATGAAATTCTTATTTGTTAACTGTACATTTCGTCTCATGGTGCAATTCTATTGGCCGACATTTGGGTCGGAAAAATAATCCCCCGAATACCACACGAGCTTCAAAATTATCTGGCATTTCCCTCAAGGTTCCCTGCAAACAAATAAAGTCGTCAAGTTCTTCTTCAAAACTTGACTCCTTCATTTGTTTGCAACGAACCTATCGGGAAATACCCGATAATTTTGAAGCTCTTGTGGTATTATAAGTGAATATCGACACACACTTTATTTCTGAATCAAATCAAAACAAAATTTATTTATAGATAGGTACAGTTTTGTGACCTGTCAAAGGTCTTTGACTGTGTTTATATATATACTGTTTGGAAAGCTTCAACACTATTGCGTTGATGGGAAAGCCTCCAGCATGATGAATTCATGTTTCGAGGGAAGGGTCCAAAGAGTGAATGGCAATGGAGTCACCTATCCGGGTTCGCAGGTGTCAATTTGTGATGCCTCTCTAATTACTGACGGTCAGCAATCATTCTCCAAAATATCTCCTTGTTCTACGAGTATACTCGCTAATTGCGATTCAAAGGAGTGGCGGAGAGTTTATTGCCAGTTCTTATTGCCCGCTCTACTCCCTTGACTTGCAAACTGGTAGTAAATTTAAATTTAGAATCAATTTAACATCTTTTCTGTTCCGTTCAGGTGTATTTGGTAACCTATATGAATAAGGTTATTTTGAGGTAGAGTTTGAGTTAATAAACCCTGAGACGTGATACATAATATATATATATCTATAAATATATACTTTCCTCTTGAATTATTTCGCTGTACCCGGAGAGTGCTAAATCTTCGGCATATTCGTTGCGCTTTTATAATACTTTTTTTTACTCGAATAAAATAAAAATTTGGCACATCTTTCCATGGATGAATTAAATCTTTATTGGCTTTCTTCACCTTTATGTAGTATTCTTACTACATAATGGTGTAAACACATTGTTAAAGCAGTTTTAAAGTCCTATTTACATAAAAATTTAACTATACATTTCGAAACGGTTATCATTACTAGGCCAAAGTAGTTTTGTTTCAATATTGCGTTGGCAATTTTCTGTAGTTTTTACCAGTCTTCATCAACATGAGTGTCGCCGCAAGAATAAAGACCTTAGGACAATAGTATTACACACATTCTGAAAAAAATACCCCACTACTTATGTATACATGGAAGAAAGCTTTGTGGCGTTAGCCTGGTCTCTAAATAATAATATTTAAATCGCCTGTAATACTGTATGTATAAATAACACTATTAAAAATGTACAGTTACAAAGTATTTGATAATTAAGTAAAATTAACGATTTAGATAGTTTTTCATCAAAGACAAAGTTTGAAATTAACAGATTATGCAGATTTCCTTTTAACCATTTTGTAAATGTTTAAGATACCTATTTTAGAAAATAAGTGAAGAATTTATTACGGCTATAAAACTTTACTAGCGGATTAGCAGGCTTTAGATTAGAGAGATTTAGATTTAAATGTTTTATAATTAGCTAAATCACAAAAACTGATAGTAGAATTTATTTCATGAAGTAATTACTTTTGCGATGCAGACACTATAAGGTGCAATTGAGGATAAAATTCAAAGTGGAGTATAACCGAAGACTATCATAAGCATGCTGAATCCCCCCACCTACACAGAAAGTTGAAATCTTTTACTGCATTTTAAATATATCTTAAATATTCCTCTCATAAACCCGTGTGTTAAAAAACTGAAACTGTAATCGTTAGATTAAAAGAAACATGAACGATAACCGGACTTTTTTATAGAACGGTGTGGGAGGCTCACCTGATGTCAAGTGATATCATCCTTGGACAAACACTGCCAGAAGGCTCCGGCCATTTAAGAATTGTTACGCTCTTATCTTGAAGGACAGGAATCGAATAAAAAGACACGTATACCATATTGCATTTAATTACTTAAAAATTACATTACATTCTATTCTATATTAAATATCACATTCCGCACAACTCATACTAAAATAACTAAAATATAAAACAAAATATCGTTATTAATTAAATTAACACGGTTCGGCTACATTATAGGTTGGGCATATTTTGAAGAGTTCACAAATTAAAATAATAATGAACAACGCAAATTTGTTGTAAAGACAAAACATATTTAAGTTCTTTATTTATAAAATTATCTATAACTAGCTGATCCGGCAAACGTCGTTTTGCCATGTTTATCATTTATAATAAAAAATAGGGGTTGATCGTAGAGGGGTGAAAATTAGGGGTTGTATGTATTTTTTAATTTTGTATCATAAAAAAACTAAAAAATTTAATTTAGGGGTGGACTACCCTTTACATTTAGGGGGATGAAAAATAGATGTTGTCCGATTCTCCGACATACCCAATATGCACACAAAATTTCATGAGAATCGGTCAAGCCGTTTCGGAGGAGTTTAACTACAAACACCGCGACACGAGAATTTTATATATTAGATTATTACTCATACAATACCGAAGTCATCAGTTTTATATAAAAGTTTAATTACATACACTCGGCTTGGTCATATTTCAATTGTTTCGTCAATTGAATCTCGTACAACTTAAATTGAAATAATTAGAGTCCAATATTTAAAAGATTTCGATTCGTTTATCCAATTTAATTGTCAAGAATTTAATTAATTTACACAGTTGTAAGCTATGCCAGATGGTTAGAATTAATTAGCTAGGTAAACATAGATTGTACATTAATAGTTTATCTCACAAAAATAAACTAGTAAATATATATGTATGTTTTAATATCGGTATGAGCCTCGTCTCCGTACCATTATTTTGTAATACTAGAAATATGGCCATCATGGTTTGAGATCTGGTGAAACTGTTTTAAATAGGAATAAAAGAGCCTTTAGAGCCTTGGCTTGTCCAAGCAACATCTATCAATAATATGAGTTTGAACAGATTTGTAGTTCAGCTAACCTGTGATAAGGCACTTACATCAATATATATTTAGTGATGCATGCTAAACGAGCGTCTGAATCTGATTATGCAACAGTTGTCAAGTTGGTGCCAAATAAAATTGCACCGTATTCTGTTAATTTAAAGTTCATTTTTGGTAACAGTGTCAATTCACGTAAAAGTTCAAGCCTAATCTGTTACGGTATAAGATACATGCTATAATAACATATACTACTAGCAGACCCAAAAGACGTTGTTCTGAATAATATTTCAAGCGATCAGGATATTAAACTAAGTATGAAAGTACCGCCTGCAGCGCCATCTGCCGGACTGATTTGTGAATCTAAACCTCATTATATATACATAGTGTCTGCAACCTAAAATTCATTCAAATCGGTCCAGCCGTTTAAGAGGATTTCAGTGACATATACACGTACAGTAGAATTATACATATAAAGACATTATGAATGTCAAGCTATTTTCTAATATACTTTCTATAGCGAGTGTTCGCCAGATTTCAAACCATTCAAATAATTGACAAACAGTTATATTTAATTATTTTTTTGTTAACACAGCCGCTCTATTAATTTAAGTAAAATATTATTTTTATTATGTCATCGTAATATTAATTACTTTCTATAATTAAGGAAGTACATATACTCGTTTTCTAAAATTATACATTCATTCGGAAGAACATTTGATTGTAATAAAGGAAAATATATATAATTAAACACTCTTTTTCCCGGATTGGATTGCGCTCGATTCTAACTAAATATTAGTTCAAGATTTTTTTCAATTTTAGTTTTTAATCAAATGGTGATTTTTATCTTATCATTAAGTTTGAACCTATCAGTTTTAGCGTATCATATATCTAAACTTAATGAATAAAAAGTTTTATTATATTATATTCCAGCTAAAATTTTATTTCATTTCATCTCTATTGTTCACAATTCCCAAATTAATAATGAAATTTGGTAGGCTGCATGAACTTTATCAATTCGTTCTATTTCGTACTTATGTGTAAGTCAAGCAAAAAGATGCATCTTTAACGTACCTACTTTATGCTATGTATATAGCAGTGCGAGATTCTGGCTTTGCACCAATTTTTTGTCTATATTCAAATTCCTACGTCACAACTTAAAATTATTAGCATTTTAATATTAGCCGTCAATCTGTACTTAGACAACATTATAAATAATAAAAGCTATTTTGTATGTTTAAATTTGCAAATATTTTGTACTATTGAAAGAAAAATATAAAATTAGCTAATGAAACGTGTTCTTTATCTTAACTTTTACATATGTTACATACAGCCATACTAGAGTTGTAAATTATTTATTTATTTATTATTAAAGCTTTATATTTTCTTATGCCGTTTAAAATTACAGTACAGCGGTTTAAATTTCATCAGTTGCTGAGTAAACGGGCATTTCGTTTATCTAAAGTAATGATACAATTAGTAATAATTTAATTAACGACTCTGTCCGGCTGTTGTATTATAAAATTCAAATTATTATAGACAACAATTACACCTGTTTAAAAAAAATATCCCATGCATCTCATACTGTCAAAGTATCGTTAAAACTAACTGTTCCGTTCATCGCTTCTACAGTACTGAACTTTACCACCATAGCATGGATAGAGGAGTATGACCCTGCGAATAATGCCACCAGTGAAAGTAAAGCGATACCAATGTTCTTTATAAGAATCCATTTGAAGATACCAAGTCCACGCTCCCATTTATGAACGCTGTCTACTATGGCTGGTGTTAAAAGACCGAGTGTTGAGAGGAAGATGGCTCCACATAGGTTGATGAATAATTCTAGATCTGGGAATGCTGCGGCGAGAGCGACTGTAACAAAAGTCAAGGTTTATATGCAGTGGCAGGTAATTGTTAAAATGAATCTCACGTTAGGCCTTAAATAAATATGTATTAATCTTAAAGTTCACGGCGCGTAATGGATTCTTGTAATTCTTTTTACTTACTTTCCGTTTTTAGTTTATTCAACCATCATTATCATCAAAGGCTTCTTTCGAAAATATAACATCTTAGTTACTGTTTTCGGTAAATGTTTGCCAAAAATACTCACACCTTATGCTGAGTATAAAAAGAAGATAAATCAGCGAATAAAAAGTATACCTGATCCAATGACGCAAATAGTGCGTATGCTAATCTGTGTGATGTTATGGAATTTGACAGCAATTTTATGATGGAGTTGCCGCCAAATCATTTCCATAGGTACGTAGAACTGCAAGCTGTATGTGAACAGAATAGCTAACGCCATGAGAATTTTCGCACTTTGTGCGAGCCTGCAAACAACGAAGAATATTTAGAATTAAGTAAAAAATGTTTAAAAGGAAATATACAAAACCAGATGTTTTAACACCATATCACGCCGAAATAGGGACTTTACTTTTATGAAACGTTTAAACAGCTAAAAGTTTTACTTCTAAGAGCGTGTGGTATGAATCAATATTAAAGTACCGTTTAATAACAATATTTCACTTCGATATATTGGTAATTACAGTGAAATATGGCAACCTTTTAATTGGGAAAAAAATTGCACCGTTTAGTTTTCTTTATATGCTTATCAAAATAATTGCTCGACCAGAGATAAAATTGCCGTCTTACAGTTGCTGATTGCCATTTACAAAAACAAAACAAAAAAGGTAATGAAAGTCGTGACGAAAACTTTAGATTGAAGATTAATGAAGAACGCCCAGAAATATAGTCAAATTGTGAATATAGTAGTCGAAAGCTTAAATAATTTCAATTACAGATGAAAATTGAGTTAGATTTTATGTTTTGAATTTGTCGTATTCTGACTACAGGTAGACATTTCTGCTTTTACTAATTGAAGTGTTCATTATGAAGAATTATGTCATGGGAATAAACGCGAATTTATTACATTACATGATGTAATAAATTCGCGCGTTAAAACTGTTAATCCCTTACTACACATGATCATCGAGGAATTCACTATACAGAATTTATATAAAATGTAGTGCTTGCGTAAACTAAATTGTCGTTGAGCTCAATGTCTTTTATAAGACAAAGTTATTTCTCCCATCCTTATATGTTTTCACGTTATAATAGGTTGAGAGTAGTGGAAAAAGATTGACACGGACAGTGATTGCCGTGTATTGGACGTTCTTGAGTTATAAATTGTTTCTTGTGTTATATTAAATTTGGGTGGTTTTTATAACTTTGTGTGGGGTATGTTTTCTTTTATTAGTTTAGGGTATAGTTTTTATTTTATTGAAGATATTTGAAATGTTTTTCTTTTTAGCTTAGGAAATACCCCCAAATTAGGTGTCAATTATAGGGTAATAGCATAATAATTTGTTTATGAGGTAATCTTTACCTCATAAAACATATATTTAGTTTTGTGTTTTTTAGTTATTGTATATTACTTGATTGTGGTTATATAAATATCCTGTACTCTTTGAAAATCTCTGTCTTATAGAAAATTTTAGTGCAGTGAATTTAACATATAAAATTAGTCAGTACCCGACATTTAATGCGATTTCGAATACGTATTTTACGAATACTCACATTTCATCCTGAGGTAAATTCAAAGTGACACTTCCTCTCACTTCATCACCAAACTTCATGTATCCAAAGAATCCGACAATACCATACAAGCCGATCACGACTGTCATAGCCACATTGAGGACTCCAGGGCATCCCAGAAATTGCTCTGGTTTAGCCATCTCATTTTCAACTGGCATCACGACACCGATGCCTTCCATCGCGAAGATCACTGTACTGAAAGGAACATACATTTCTAATTACTACTTAACAAGATGTAACCATTTCCACATCCTCCCTTAGTTATGCAAAGATAGCAGATGTTACATATTTAATAAATTTAGCTACAGATAAAGTTGACTGTCCTGAGCTACTAAGTAAGGTGTGGTATTGACCTATTCGCCTCAAGTGTGGTGTCGGCAAGGAGAGCTATGACATCTGAGCTCCTCAGTGGAATAAATGGTGAATCATAAGTTTTTATAAGTGTATAAGTTATACTAAACTGTTAAGTGTTACTTAACCAATTTTTACTTAGTTTATTACTTTCTTTGATGTATATTTGTGTAGTTGAATAAAATCATTTTATTGTTACCAATCCAGTTAATATTATTAGTACTTAACTATTTGTAAAGATTTATTTAATGGCGTAAAAGAACATTGTATTTAGTAAGTAAGTTAGTAATAAGCTGTAAATCTTTCTCAATAAATAATAGTAATAATAATAATCAATTCCAAAGCTTTTAATCTAGGTTAAGGTTTAGGAATATTAAATGAATCATAGTTTTTTTATGTGTAAATGATCCGGCGAACTTCGTACCGCCTAACAGTAAGTGGACTTCGTGTATAAAATAAGATCACTACAATCACCGAATTGATTTAAAAAGCTTGTAATTTTTTCCTTAGTTTACACAAAAGAAATTTCTGAACGCTTAAACATTTCACAACCAATATGTATGTCAATCCTTTCTCATTATAGATATTATTCAAAAAAAATAAAATATAGAATACACCATTATCCATATATATTATCGATTCGAAACCTTATTTAAATACATATTATAATATGAGGGGAGAGTTTACCGTATCGACGGGATGAATATTAAATTTTTAACAGTTACGAAAGCCATGAACATTTTGTGTTGGTTTTTTAAGCTATTGCATATATTTTATTGCGGGCTTTGAGCGCGGCGACCGAATCAAGAAATTCCGTAACGAAAAAAACCTAACACACGATGACGTAATATAGGTGCGGCAAATACGCGTTAGAGTGGGACAGAACGCATACTGCGCATTCCCATCTCTCCGACGAGATCGGTGACGTAGAGCGAGCGCGGCCGGTGCAGCCAGTACGCGTTAGAGTGAGACAGACTATATAGGCGTTTTAGTCTGAGTCTGGTAGAGTGGTAGATTGAAATAATATCAAAGAAAAAACTTGAATTAATATCAAATAAAAAAAAATACTGCATAAATAAAAAATTTATAAATAATTATAATTGCATAAGTTGATAAAAAATGCTATGCAATAGCTTTACCGCGGCAGTCCCCGAGTGCCACACGTTTTTTTCTTTATATTATTGTTTCGATCTATCAATGTTTTGAACAGTTATTCTTCTTTTTAGGACGGAGACATATACAACAAATCAAAAACCAGAACATCCAGCAGTTCTCGAGTAGGCGTTAGAATAAACCCGACTTACTTATTAATATAAAACTCATGGTGTACCTAAAAACAGCAGGCGCCTAGCTAAAAGACAATAATATAACAGAAAATTATGCTCCATTAAGCGTTTACAAGTCGTCCAGAACTTAAGTAAATTGCCTTTACATAACTTAGAAACAATTAAGTTAAATTTAAGTTATGTAATTAGAAAGGAAATTTGATGTCTACGTTCAAACAAGTTTTATAACATTTTAAGGAAGTTCTGGACGTGACTTGATTCGTTAGTGACGAGGCCACCCATAAATGAACTATATTTTATACGTGCTGACATTCGCGATACTAATTTAGCTTAATATTATAAATTGTGATTGATTGAACGCTAATATCAGGAAGTATTTAAAGTTTTAAAATTATTTTTGTGTTGGATTGTTTATTTCAAATGAAAATCATATAGGTATCTACTCTTATGGATGTCAATATTTATCATTGGCAGGTTCCTAATTTCGATCTACTACAATATTAATTACTTTAATTATGAATATAAATCTGTTTCTGTGAGAGTAAAATCTTTATACATATTCTGTGCATGTGTTGGAATTTAAACTCCTCCTAGGATTCAATAATGGTTTAGATTTACAATTAGATTTTTTTTCTAATTGTGTACAACGACTGTCGTGTCCGCTAGTATAATATATAAAGATTATGGGGCCATCAAACCAAATTTTTATTCTATACCTAAGTCGAGCGGACATTTATTGTTCTAATTTAATTCACAAATATATGAGATTCCAGGTCGATTAAACAAGACATATTGGGTTAAGTTTAACGAAACAATTTTAACTTACCTTATAAACAAAGGCCATTGAGAAACACTAGCAACCATTTCCCTTTCCACGGGGCTAGGTAAATCGGTAAATATATAGTACATAGTTATCGCGAAACAGATGACGAGAAAAACGTTGGCGATCGCTGAAAAGGGCACCAGCCACTTTAAATTTCGAATTTGACAAATAAGCACCAGAGGTAATAGAGTAAGAGCGCAGTAGGTTTCCACAGATAACTTGTACTCCGGTATGTACGCGTCGAGTACCTGAAATTTAAATTTAGAATAAAGAAATAGTATTCATGAATCCCTGTTAAAACTTTTCGCAACGAAATACGCATTAGTTTAATACTTAGTTATATAAATATTGAAGTTTTGTTATAACTAAATTATATTATTAAAGCAGTGATATATAAGCGCAATTGTATGTGTTGCTACAGTTGTAAAAGCTTACTTTGAATTGTTTCTGACGCATAAATTTCTAGTACGATTTACGAAAACTACTCTATTTTAAAATATTATAAAGTTGCAAGCACTAAATTAAACTATTTTTAAGTCCTAATTGGCTTTAGACTTTCTAATTGTTTGTTATAGTTCTCTATTGTTCTTAAACAATTGAGTCAGAATTGTATTAAAATAACGTGTATTGCTTTGTTTAGAATTGTGTTTGTATATTTTTCAATACAAATAATTTAGAAAAAAACAACTGCCATCAAACATCTGTCAACATTATTTATCTATATTATACCAGCAATGTGTATAAATGGAATGAAATATACTTCAAACGGATCATTGATATAAGACATTTAGTTTTCGAGAAACTTACATTATACGATTCCAATAATATACATACCGATCAAGCCTAACCAAACCTAATCTATCCAAGACTAGCACGAATTTTACCAGTCTCAATGTTCGTTTCCAAAATTGAAAATAGTTGCAATAAAGTTCAAAACTAGTTAACACAGATAAAAATTAAGAAGTAATAACAATATTTCTGTGTTACTGCTATGGAGAAACTGTTCAATTTAGTTTTTCCACAGTTTAAGGAATTTAAATATCGAATCTAAAGATTATTTTTAAATACTAGTCCAATAACCTTTTTAATATACCTATACCTAGGTAACACTGAAAATGTTTAGAAAATTAAAAACGGCTTAATGTAGAAAGTTGCCAATACTTTTATTGTTTTTCGAAGTAATCTCCGACGATGTGTAGAGATACACATCGTCGCATTCGATGGAATCACTGAGAAAAGCAATGGGCCCATTCTTACTCAGGGGTCTCTTCTATGGCATTTTCGTACGCTTTCACCGCATCTTCAGGGCTCGTAAAGCGAATGTACCTCGAATTTTATCTTTAGTTCTTGGGAATAAATGAATGTCGCAGGGCCAGGTCAGGACTGTATGGCGGATGACTCGTTATCTCGACACATCATATTCAACAGTCCGTTTTACGGAGTGCGCTGAAGCATTGTCGTGGTGAAGAAGGATCCTGCTTCGAGGGCGCTGCTGTCGAATTTTTTCCAAGACAACAGGCAAAAAGCGATTGACATACCAGTCTGCAGTAACTGTCCTTCGTTCTTCTAGCACAACTGTCGCGAAATGACCCTTCCGACCAAATAATGAGGCAATCATCTTTTTTCCTTGACTTATTCCTTTCTTTACCTTACTTGGCCGATCCTCGAAAAGAAACACCCACTGAGCTGATTGTCTTTTGGTTTCGGGTTCCTAGCAATATATCCAGCTTTCATCACCTGTGACGATGTCAAATACATCATTTGAATCACCGCTGTTGAACTTATCTAACATTTGGCAACACTCCATGCGAAGGTGTTTCTGGTCGTCGGTTAAAGTATGGGAAATCCATCTGGTACAAAGCTTTCTGACGCCTAAATGTTCGTGCAATATTTTTTGAACTTGACTCATACCAATGCCTAGGCTTGCCCGTATTTGCTGATAGGTCACTCTCTTATCTTCCTCTATCATGCGTCGCACAGCACTGATGTTATCTTCAGTAGTCGCTGTTAAAGGACGTCCCTCACGCGGGTCATCATTGAGATAGCTACGTCCACGCTTAACTCGTTAAACCAATTGTAAATAGTGGCACGAGATGAGGCTTCTTTGAGAAATGCTAATCGCAGACTATCATAGCTTTGTTGTTGAGTAAGCCCACAATGAAAGTCATAATAAATCATTGACCGAAAATATTCTCGCGTTAGGTTCATTTTTACGTGTAACAAGAGTTTTAGATTCGCCGCCAATACGCAAAAACAAATGACAAATAAATGCAATATACTTACATTACGCTACCAAAGAGTTCTAAAATTGAAATTCAAAAAAGTTTTCATAAGCATTGTTTCTAACTGGCCAGTTCTAAACATTTTTAGTGTTACCCACTTAAACCTATGTGTAGGCAAATATCTATCAACTCGGTAGAATTGTTGATTGGAATAAAATTATCGGGATGTATGTCATGTATTAGTTCCCCAAATACCACTAAATGTTTCAGTTGTTAAGGGATTGTAAAATTAACTTAATTGCTTATTTATTAAATGATAAACAAAATTTAATTAATTGCGCGGAGCCTGATTATATTATAAAATCATCACCATGAATGTGTTTCTAGAGTTAATTCACTGACTCTGGAGTACAATTTTATTAATTTTAATAATTTCATAGCTTTATCCAAAAATATTGCGATTTGTTATTGTTGGTCTAAAAATAACTCTGAGAAACAAGCGAGAGAACTATATAATATATAATAATAAAGAGCAAGAGAACTATAATGATAAATTAGTTATGTATGTATTTTTTTAGTATGTAGACCTAAATAACAGACGCCGATCATACAAATATATACATTAAAATTCACTCTTCTACAACTTCACTTCTTTACACTGTATAAGTAATAAAATCTTATATTCGAAGTTGGCAAAGTATTGGAAGTAAAGTATTATTAATGTTACTGCCGACTTGAAGACTTTGTTATCATACTTTTTAAGTTATTAAGAACTTTTTTTAAATATGATTTATTGAGTATTAAAGCCATATATTAATTATTTAAACCAAAATTGATTTTCTTATCCATGGTTTAATTATGTACCTATTAAAATCAAATTTTGTATGTTCTGAAATTGGCATGAATTTTTTTTTGGCTTTATTTACCGAGAGATCACCGGGGGTCGCACTCAGGACTTCCCATGTACGTTCAAATAAATAATTAATCATTTTGAATGATATATACGTTATAATTTATGGATAGGATAATCCTGAACGTTATGCGATCGGACAAATTTATTCTGAATTAATCATAAAAAAATAATATTTTTTTTATGTAATGTTAGCCTAATAATAATACAAATATTTAATGTACATAGTTCTTATAACGAATAAGTACCAGGCATTTATTAGAATAGTGGTTTTGTATAGTAGGATCGCTATTTGCCACATCAAAGCGGAATAGTACCTACTAGAAACTTGATTTTGTACTGGAATTGAATATTAAATATTAATTTGTTTTCCTTTTGAGATTGATGGAATCACAACAATGTAAGTTTAAACTCAAACTATTAATATAAACAAATTGAAATTGAAATTGCTAGTACATAAATAATGACGGTTATCATACGAGTGTTTTAATACGTTACAGAATAAATGTAACGCGCAAAGATGGCGCTGCCAGAGATAAGTTGTAATGTACCTCAGACTTGGCCATTAGGGTAATATAATAAAGGAAAACTTCTTGGTCATAAACTTCACGAAATTTATTTTAATTGCAGTAGTTTGTGTAAACTGCGTCAATATAGATTTGTTTTATTCGCATGTTCTTCGGGATCGCAATTGGTATTGAGAATTAAAGAGTATCGGTGCAGGCATTGTCATGCCTTTAATTTATAACCTCAACTTGAACTAATAGAAAACAAAACTTCTCCCATTTCAACAAATGGGCTTAATTTAGCGCTTTGATGATGATAAAGTATTTTAGTATCTTACGTATCTCCGTAGAATACGTAGTGAGTGCAGTTATATATTTATTTTTGTTATTACAGGTTTCTTTTTCTATTTCAGGTAGAGTCAACACAGATCAGGCATCTGTGCTGACTCTCGCCTTCGACTTTTTGTGTCTAAGACAAGTCTGGTTTCCTCTCGATGATTTCCTTCATCGAAAGAGCGATTGTTAATGCACATAGCTGGGGATCGAACCCACGACTTTAAGTATGAGAGTCGCACCCCGAAATCACAGGTCAACACAAACTAATGAAAAATATACACTTTACCTCTTTAAAATTCTCTGCAATAAATACAATATAAACACTGAGTGCGGCTAAATATGTGCAGGTCAAAGCCCAGTCTATGAAGATTCTGAAACAAAAACAATATATAATTCTTTATTTCTCTAAAATGCGCACCCACTGAACTATAATAATATATGGAAAACTAGATACTAAATTATAGTTGCTAATATTTTTTGAATTGAGGTTTTCAGCTGTGTTGGTCTAATGAAATTGGTCTAAGGAAAACATTTTTACGAAACAGATACATAAATCAGATGCCAGACTTAGAGGTTGTAGCGCCAAGGCGTTTTTGATAATAAATTTAAAGGCACTATTAAATATAAAAACCTGTGAAGAAAAACGATTAGAAAGATGAAATAATTATGATAGCGGTAACTGGACTTGTTTATATTACCTGTTTTTAATAAACTTAGGAATACTAAAATTTATTATATACTGATTCTTCCGATGGATATGAAATAGTAAATATTTTGGTTAAAACAAAGGTTAAGTTAAATTTGCACACCAATATATTTCATTTTTTTTTTATAATAGTTTCCTATTATCTAAAATTACAGCAATTTTGGTTCTAACCACATATCGTGAGCTTGATCCCCGATGTTCTAAAAACAGATGGAAAGGATTTTTTTTAGTATGTGAGGTAAAAACTTTCCAACGAAACAGGCATGTTTTGAAATCAAAAATCAACATGTTTTAAAGTAAAATATAATGATTAAATATTTGGAAAAAAACGTAAAGCATCGTCGTAGAGGTAATGTATTTGAATTTGTATAAAATACATACCGAACAAAATTCGCCCACGGTCTTAATCTTTTAGGACCAAACTCGAAGGCTGCTCCACAAGTCTCCGCAAAACCCATTGAAGGCCTCTTTGCTTCTACACATACTTCTTGTGATGTTTTTACCTGAAATCCAGTGAGATAGAGATTAAAGAATAACTCTTTAGTAATATATTATAATTGTTTGGTTGCTATGTCTCTCCAGTCTCTCCATCATTTATCGAGTGCGCAATATATAAAAAGGCCAGACGTAACTGGCCGCCAATGTGATCCTGGTCGAGTGTCTACCGTGTGTATATTACTGAAAAAACAACAGGACTCCAGAATTGTTTTTAAGTTTTGGCGAGCCCCGATGTTTTATATGCACGTGAATTATATAAAGACTAAAAATAATAATGAAGTATTATATAATATTTACACCAAAATTGTCGCATTATTCTAGCGGGAGGCATTATTAATGCAGTCTTCAAAGAAAACATATAAAATAGCAGGTTGGAAAGAGCACACAATTTAGAATCTTCTGAAAACAAATTTGTTAACATCATAGTTTAATAAGGCTCTCAGGGTTCATAAAAGTTGATTCGTGTTTCATATTAGTTTATATTTCCGTTGTTTAAGATATTTCATCATTAGCCTAACGTCCCTTTAACAATTTTAACGGATATAAACGCGATTCATTTGTTACATGACGTTCAGAAGTCTATGTCTGCGAGAGACTTTGTTTGTCGCGTGTCTAACGAAATTATATTCGGTCGATTACGACGTTGATACAAGATTATTTTGTAAGAACAAATGTCATATCATGTAATGAATGGGTAAACTGTTTATCATTCAGCTTTTAAAATATCGCCAATTGATGGCGTTGCTCTACGGATACTTCTATGTAAAAAAAAGACAGTTCGTTTTCGTATCTAGTTTTTTTTATAGAAAAGGCAAACGCGCAGGTGACTGGCAGGCTCACCTGATGTTAAGTGATGACAGCGGAATCATGTGGTACACTCTGGATTAATCTCTGTTCGAACTGCACTTTCATACTTTTGGTGATGGGCTACAGGAGTCACTCTCACCCCACGAAACGCGAGTACAATAAGTTGGACCTATTGCATCACTTTACGCGTGAGACGGTGGTACTGCCCCAGTCGAGCCAGCCATTTGGCTGAAGCTCGAAAGCAACAGTAGTGCACTCCTACTAGGAAAGCAATGCAAATTGCAATGGTGCAATGGTGAAATAACCTCTCTCACAGGTTATTTCACCAGCGGGCGATGGGATCGTCACGTCCCGATGCCGGTCTAGTGTTATATGAATAAAATATATATTCATCAATGAATTTAGAAAGAAAATTAGACGATTTATATTTAAATACGTTTGAAGTTAAATACATTCGTGAACAAACCGTAAAATATGCATTGAATTTTAAAATTTCTCTTTAAAACAAAGTAGAAAAATAAGAATAGAATTTGTAAAAAGATTATTCAACGCGGTTTGTGCTTTTCATTAAAATTCATAGCGGTATACGTGTAAGATGAAATATTATTAATTTTTTTTAAAGCAGTTTTTTTTTGTAATACTAACGAATCATCTATATCAGTTATTCCCAAAGTGGTCTATATCGACCCCTAGGGGTCTATGACAACCTGCAAGGGGTCTACGTCAGCGAAAAAAAAATTTGGGGGTCCATGAAATGAAAATGGGGGTCCACGATAGTGGATCTCAACACATACACTGATAGAGGAAAACAGACATCGCCTATTTAACAGATTTGTTTACAAAATTTAATATGGTTAATTTGCAACAACAAGGGGACAGTTTAAATTTGATTAAAACAAAGTCCATCTTACGAGCAGCGTTTCTTGCCAGGGTTAAACTAATGAAGCAAAATATTGGACGGGGCGAATTTTCTCAGTTCCCCAATTTGTTACTTTAAGTTTTTAACACTAAACTTCACAACAGTTAGAAATTTACAGGAAATCAATATCAGGTATTAAGTAGGGGTCTACCCAACACGGGAAAACATGGCAAGGCGACACAAAAAAGTTTGGGGAACTGATCTATATCAATACGTAAATTTATCAACCTATTTAGAATCGTACTAGCGTTAAAAAGCTTTGAATTTTTGTTTTAGTATACTATATATATATATTTGGATTTTGTTTTTTGATAACTTTAGGAAACGTGCTTAATGTGGTTTGATCATTATATATATGTTGCAGCCAACTAGCTTAATAAGCGGTTAAATTAACAGCCTAGCCTTTTAACTAAACAGCACCGTTTAACTAGCGGCCTGAAAGATCTTCAGCCGTAGCGTTTGTTACAACATTTAATAAACTGGCTGGCTAATGTTCGTACGTTAGAGTGACCATGTGACAGAAATAAAAGAGTAGAAACATCTGACATAAAAAATATTTCTTTAAAAATTTAATTGCTTGAGTCAGTCACAGGTAAATTTACATTATTATTGTCACTAAACTCTTCAATTGTACCTACTTGTTGTTTTTCATTTAACTTAGAAAAACACCATTAAAGTTGTGGTTTTCCGACGCCATATTGACAGTTTGAAGAGTTTCGTTTCGAGTTTGAGAGTGGCAGAAAGTAGAACTAAATTCAAATTAACAGCCAACGGGCTGGCAAGTAATGAAACGTCATCGATCCAAGTCATTTGCCTTTGCTTTTCAGGGACCCTAGATAAATGGCGCTGTTTAATTAAGAAGCTATGCTGTTGATTGAACGGCTAATGAAGCTAGTAGCGCCATATATTTATTATATAAATAATTGTAAAAAATAAAAAAATAATGTTATTGGAAATTCGGAATTAAATGAATATGAGTGCTGCATTGAACAAATAAGCTTTGGACTGAACTATGAAACCTTTACTATATTCTTTTTGTTGTGTGTATTAATCACGTTTGACATGATGTCAATGAACTAAAAACATATAACCAAAAATGATTGAACTTTTATGATTCCTACTGCCCACGAAGGCATACCCTTGCGAGTGCGTTGTCGATTTAGCTTACGTCCATCGTATTTTAATAGACAGTTAGTTAACAGGTAATAGGTATATTAAAAACTACGTACGAGTACATAAACGCAATGCGTGCAAATAAATCCAACGACAATCGTTCCAAAGGCCCCACCAGCCAATCCAGCATTCCTGAAGGCAGCCGGCATAGCCAAGATCCCCGAGCCGAGTGAGGATTTCAAAAGGTGAGCCAGGGAACCAATTGTGCTGAAAAACAAACTTTTTATTAAACATAAACTGTATGTGTAAAACCTCTGGTAACCTCAGATTTCTGTATAGTCTGCTTCGTGATCATTTGTTTTTTTTCTAATAAACAAGTAGGTGATCAGTCTTCTATGCCTGACACAACGCCGTTGACATTTTGGGTCTAAAGTTAGTGTTACTATTTGTAGTAACTAGCTTCATTCGCAATTTGGTCGAAGGGTTACAAAAATATTTTCTTTATTCAATCCAGGAACTCGTATGATTAGGGCATTCAACCGAACAAAGACTTAATAGTCTTTGTTGATACAAACTTATGGCTGTATAAATAGAATCGTATTTAGATATATTTCATAGTTAAATATGAGATCTTAGGTACATATAATATAATTATTAATTAGAATATAATATCGTTTTGTGTACCGAATTAGTCTAATGTAACCTGGCTTTATACAGGGACTTGATATCAAAGAGCGAAATGTCAAATTGTATACCCCTTTATTAGAAAATATAATAAAAAGGTATACAATTAATAATATAAATTTAATTTCCATTATAATAAAATCATGATTCGGCAGTTGATCTATATAACTCATTAATTCTTGATTCAAAATAATGTTTTTGATTTAAATTTTGTTAATTTGTTGCTTTGTATACTTTCACTGGTTTTTATAAATTCCTTATTGTTATATAAACTTTATTTTCTAGCTATCGCAATGTGGGAGAATATATCACCATTAGGGAAGTTAAAAGTGTTTTAATGTCTTGGAACTTCGAGTTTCCTCTTAGGCGAGGCGTTGGGAAGTTTTATGTTTACTTTTAAAGCTATTAAACGTATTTTATAGAGTTTTAAGAACAGTCAAAATAAATTGTACTTGTTATCTAGATTGTTAACACGTTTTAGAAGACCAATGATAATGCAATTTAAATTTCAATATTTTTTCGATATTATGTCTGCACTATGAGTAGTGGTAATCCATTCTCTTTCTTAAGTACTGCGTAAGCTATCACTGTGGTATAGTTTTTATGAACTCGATTTGTTGTTGGAATACGTGTAATTTTGATACATCTGATCTCAATTGCAATTTCAATATTAAGTCAGTATCAAAATTGCGACAGAGCTACATAATTTGAAAGGCTTACTTTGATGGTTACGTCGTCAGATGATGTCATAATAATTTAATTGGCACGTTATTAGAATGTCTATACTGGCTAATTAAAGTAATTGAGAACTAGTATCGGTTTTACAGACACTTATTGTTCAGTGATACAGACGCAATATTAACTTAATTCTATTCTTAATGTAGGTATACAAATAAGGTATTTAACTTTGTCATAATATTTTAGGTAGTACATTCCTGTAAAAACATATTAATTATTGATCATTTAATATGGTAAGTGAATAGAACAATCCAGCAATTAGATAAAAATTAAATCAACTATTCGCGGAAAATTTTGCTTATTGTTCGCAGTTAAACATTAATAGCCAGGATACAGTAGGGGTATGATTCAGAAACGAGACGGAATGAACTATGATTCGAGTATGTCAAAATCCAATACGTTGGACTAACGGAATTCACACTTTGCCCTATGTCTTAATTTACTCTCTTAAAGCTCTTCTTTGTCTACTAGCTCTTAAAGAAATATAAAATAAATTTACCAATTTTATATGAAAGAACGTTAAAACGAGCCATACAATTTGCTAACCTAAATATTATATAATATAAATATAAAATTGATTGTTATTCAATACTCACGAATTTGGATGTTCGACTTTTCTGTGCTCAAAGGGATTATAAGCCTTTTCGTTAATAGCATCTTTTGATCCCAAAGTTAACGTGGACTGGAAACCAGGGTTGGATGTGAGGTTGGTACTGAAAATATAAATTATTTAATTAGTCTTATGCATGGTATTTTGCAATACCCAAGAAAAAGGAAAAAGTCAGTAAATAAATAACTCGTGAAATATCTGTGATGACTGGGAAGTCATAGAAAAATTATATTGTTATGTAATAAAAACAATTTTAGCTAAAGCTCTAATCTGTATGTAGATCTATAATAACAAATGAGACTAATTCCTTACTACGCGTTATTTGCGTTATACAATACGCTAGGCGTTATAATTTATTTACAACTTTATTTGTTTTCGTTTTAATTTATTTTAAATTTATAACAAATTTATGAAAAATGTAAAAACAAAGTGCACGAAATGATAAATAAGTGCTGACCCCTTGTACAAATGAACAAACCGATCGAAACTACTCAAGAACATTTCCAAGTCTATGAGACTATGACGTATCACGTATTGCTTCGATGTAAAAACATAACTGTATATATTTGAGTGTTGCATCTTGGTTGACGTTCGCAATAAAACGTGGTATTCTTCTTGCTGACTGTAAAGATAATAAGCCTTAACGCCTATGAAATGTTTTCATTATTTTATATACGAATATTAATGCCTATTTAGTTTGTACATATCTCGACGGCTCAAGGGCTTTACAACGACATTTGCGAAATACACGCTCAAATCATTTGAAGTCTTAAGAAATTCTTTTATATTTGCTAAAGAAGAAGTATTTTAATGTGTGGTACTCGGGAAAACCACAGGTAATATTATCAAGTAATTGGCAATATTTCATGAAAACCTAACGTTCGAAACACACAATGAACCTTCAAATGAACAGCCTTCAAATGTATTGAATATTGAGTTACATATTTATATTGGTACACTTATGAACGTCAATGTAAAGGTACTTAGAAAAGGGAGACAATATATTTTAGGCTTTTAATACGTTTTCATACGGTGACTTCACAAGAATCATCATAGTTCTCGCGACAGTACATTTACCAAATTTGTTTATTAACTGGTCTGTGACGTAGTGATGTACGGCGGGTAAAGGGGGTGACAGCGGTTCTCGTAAACTAACCAGGGCCTTTCTGATGACTTGACTTGAATGACTTTATTGTCTTTGCCTTTTGTACAATATTTAAAACTAAGTCTTGGGAAAGCAGGACAGGCTACTAGTTGAATTTTTAACAAGGATTAATTTGTTGAAGTCATTATAAGTAATAGACGTACGAAGGAAATAACATATTTTGTTGTTTGAATTTTTGAGCGTGACTTGTCTAGGATAGCTAATTGATAATGTACTCGACATTGACTAAATACATTCTACATTGCTTATTTCTTCAGAAATATCGACTTAATTGACGGCATTTGTTTAAAAAATTATATTATTATTGTAAGAGGTTTTTCCCGTTTTCTTATGAGAAATAACGTAGTCCACCGTAGCCGCTCTTTTCTTGAAGGACCAAGAAAAGAGCGTACCAATTCTTAAAAGGCCGGCAACGCACTCGCGAGCCCTCTGGCATTGAGAGTGTCCATGGGCGGCGGTATCACTTAACATCAAGTGAGCCTCCTGCCCGTTTGCCCCCTGTTCTATAAAAAAAAACAAAAAAAAAATCATACTAAACAATATAACTTTAATAAATTTAAAACAGGTTACTTACGTCGAATTGAAATTGTCAAGAATTATAGTGCCTTTTTTCTCGCCGTGTCCCATTTTGATATTTATATCTGGAAAAAAAAATTGATTATTGGTAAAATTTTATTAAAATCATAAATGGTTATAATTTATTAAATTAAGGTCAACTTTGTTGGGGCTTGTAAAAGGGCCTTTAGATACGATCGATAAAAGTTACAATTTGAATACATTTTCTAGCTGCTATGTGTTGCTGTCCCATACAATTCAACAGTTTTGTATCTGTCGGATACCACTTATATAGAAATACCAGACTTTTAAACCATTGAAGGCACATTTTTCCTTGGACCATTTCTTAAAAATATTCGTGAAACTACCGGAAAACTAGTTATAATATGGCAATGTTAGAATCCTAAAATTACCGTTCTACGTGAACTTTATGGAACCACGATGCTGTTTTAGTAAAATTAATAATTGACAGGATTATTCGTAGTTGGTATATATCCCACAACTTGACGGATGTTATTTATTTCGAGGAGTTCCCATTACAATTGAAGATTACAATAGTCTTAAGACCGCCTTTCTGACTGATGAAACTTTTTCTTCTTGGTACATTTCTTTTTTGAATGAACAAATTAAATTATTTGAATATTTTGTCGTGAATTTTAGAAGGTAAACGGTTTCTTTGAAGGTAAATCGAACTTGGTTCCACAAATGCAATAGCCTGTTGACTGAACGCATTCATATTCAAGGTGGGTAGACTCATAAAGTACGTTTTGTTAGGACAATAATTGAATGAGGGTAGGATGAAAAATAAACTGACATGAGTACAATTATAAAACGTGGCCTTCTTTGTAAGCTTTGTTTTGTTAGGGTATCTAATTTATACTTATCTTTATCAACCAAAGGTACCTATAATTGAATGTACGAATGTATCCTGTATTGGTTATACATTGAAAAGTTATATCTGTCAATTACGGTTAATCGTTGTATATAAGTTTTAAGTAATTTGAATACAATAATTCATAATTATTATCATAGTCCAATGACTATATATCATATATATATATATATATATATAATCAATCAAGCACCTTCTTAAATATTTCTAGACAATCGCAGGGCCGTTTGGTTTGTGATACTTTCCTATTAATAAAAATATATATTTTAATATTTATTTTTATTTACAAAATTATTTAATTTTGTTCATCCTAAAGTTTCTTCTTAACAACGACACCCCCTCTGCATAATATGTACAGTTCTAATCTTGCTAAATATTATGCCTATTTCATTATTATCTAAAACTAGATTTTTTAAATCTTTGTTTCGACCTAATTAGCATTAACATATGACATTCTATGTTATTTGCGGTACTAACCTTGAACCCTTTTAAATATTTTTTCTCTCTATGACAATCTAGCAATCTATCGGTTATATTTATTTTCTCGTTGTTAGCTGTTAAGGTTATAGGAATGTTAAACTAGAGGCCTCAGCATGATTTTCAGGCCCTGGCGTTCGAATCACGGATCCAATGGATTTTTCCGTCTATGCGCACATTTAATACTTGCTCATACGGTGAGGGCAAACATTGCGAGAAAAGCGTAAAATAAAGTATGGCTATAAAAATATGATCAAAGTAAAAGATGCAATCTGAGGCTAAGGTTGTAGGGCTGTTGTATGTTGTATCGTCACCGGATTGTTATTATTATTTTATCATTAAAAGTTACATGTCGATCAATTCTTCAATTTTTTTGAAGTCGATTGTATAAATGTATGAATGTAGATTCTTTATTTTTAAATTTATTTTATTAAATGCATATACTGTATATGTTAAATTAGTATTCAAATAAACGGTATTCGGCGTTTCCGGTTTTTTATTTAGATAACGAGACTTAACAAGTTTAAGTATATTCTTGATAGCACAAGTGATACTTAAGTCAGCTGTTTAATTATAAATAACCAAATAATATTTAAAAATTCAAAATTGTTTATTCAATAACAAGTTACATTTTAGCAGATATTGGAGCCCCTGAACTATGTCTAGGGAGACCTGTACATCAGGGTACTTCGCACTTCCAACGGTTTAATGAAATAGTAACTTAACAATAATTAAACCAAAATACTATATTATAAAGAAAAATTGAAAGCTAAGACTTATTACTAAACTAAAGATACAGGTTTACATGGTCGAGACATTTGTACACACCAGAATGATAATCTTAGGCAAGGGACGGATGGGATGGTAGGTGGAGGGTGCTATTCTAAAAGAGTGTAAGTGCATTGAATAATATTATCAGTCATTGGACTGAATTGGGTTTTTCTGATAATTTTGAAACTCGTTTTTTTCTTACCGATAACTAGTAAAGATGACTTAATTATTTTAAAGTGAAGTTTACTTTTAGGCACAATTTCTAAAACGTTAATTAAGTGTCGTTTCTTGATCTGTCAGTTTTGCTGACGCTCGAAATATAATATTGTATAAGTCGATGCAATGACGTTACTGTCAGCTGCCATTGGTGTTATATGTCAAAAAGCTAAAAAAAATACAACGTCAAAGTCTAATCAGTTTAAAGCCGTAAATACATAACCGATTATTCGAATTCCTATATAACCAAATCTACAAATTGGCCACTATTTGAAAGTCTATAGCAATATTGATTCTATAATAATTATTATTTATAAAAATAATTTATTTTGTCGCAGCAAAATCGTTAGTGCTACAGTTACAGCTGCCATTGTGTATGTATACATATTAAATCAGTTCAAAGCCGTTGATGTACCGGTAAAATATACAACCACTCCTTTAAAACTATTCCATTTTTAATTGATGTAATCACTGTATTTTACGTAACATTAAATCTTCCTCGATCTTCTTTGAAAGAGAACTCTTTACTGAAGTAATGCAAAATAAATTTTCTGTACAAAAATAGTGTCAAATATAATCGTTGGTAAAGAAAAATAAATCCCAAATATTCAAGCAAAAACATTCAGCCCCATCTGAATATTCATTAGCGGAAAATCTATAAAACAGCAGATGTTCTGTCCGTAACGAAACCGTTAAAAATTAGTGTTGTTTAAATATTATTCGTTCGTTCCATTAATTATGTTCTTAATAAAATAATATGTATTACACATGTCGTTATTCGATATGCCTCCGACTTGGGTATTGAACTACGAAAACTAAATTATTTTAACCCGTCTACGACTGATAAGGGAATTGCTGAAGGGAATTGGATTTGACATCTTTGACCTAATATTGCACGGTACGTGCCAGGGTTGACATTTGGAAGACTTTTCACCACCCACCAGAGGCGGGATACGAAGCCTCACAGTCTGTGAAGGAACCGATCTCAAGATCTTCTATATATTTTATGAAATTTTGCCTTTATTTTATGGCTATTTTCAAATATCTTCATAATACATACAATACATTTATATCACACATTTCTTAAGTACGAGTACTTTTAGCATTAATCAGAAAAGGGTTAAATATTAACTTTTATTTTATTATTATGAACGGTAAGAAAAATGGGTTAAAATCACGTTGATAGATTTTAAACGTAGGCGTTTTAAAAATACAAGCCGTGCTTGTAAGATTAACGCAACGTACATCACGTAATTTTATTTATTTTAATTTATTAATAGAAATAGTTTCCAAGATAAATTAAGTATAAACAATCAAGGTGGTAAAGTGTACGATAATCCCGAGCTTATTGAAAAACCTGGCTTTTCTCTTACACATATTTGATCGTGTATTAACGATTATCGGCATGGCAATGAATGACATGAGACTACCTGATATCCCTCTCTTAGCTCATGATAGTGGCTTCATAGGTGGCAGCATCTGAAGTAGGTCGGTTTTATGGACATATCTGGTTCCTGTTTATTTTGCAATTACTTACTCACGTAATTACTTATCACTGTGAAACGCTTAAACGCTAAACCAGACAGAGGAGCGGAGACTGGCTATTGAAAGGAATGTTCTGAGAAGGATAATTGAGCTCAAAGAAAACTGGAGACAGTACAGTACTGGTTCGGTAATAATCACATTACCGAACCAGTACGACAAATGAGTTACGGGCTTACGCAGTTACATGAAAATGGAAATAATACTAGGAAACTTGCCGCCATGTATGGAGGTAGTTTGACTTAGAAAGTTGCTAATGAATCTGCTTGACTTATCTTTGGTAAACTTGATTTTCTTCGGTTTTATCTATAACTCATCAATAAATTTTCTTACCAAATATTCACAGAATTAACTTTACAAAATATTAATAATATTAAAGAATTCAATAAGATTAAAAGATAAAAACGCATTCGCTTCGCTGAAAAAGGACTTGCAGACAAAAAGATTTTCGCTAGACCAGCTTGATTATATAAAAATTAACATATAAATCTAATCTTTGTTTAACTGTATGCGGAAGAACACGCGGTATTGAAATTGATGACTACATAGATCCTTGTCATTATGTAAAGATCTATCAAGGCTTATGGTTCATACATAATTTGAATTCTCGGAAACCTTTACTTTTATAGTTGTTTACATTTAAACGAAGGAACGAAGGTTAATTTGACAGACGTTACACGACTTTAAATACACTCTATGCAATGTGTCTAAAGGTGATATCAGACGGTTCACTCGAATGATTGTTCACTCGAGTGAATGCTTCATTTTTTTTCATTCTATGTTCACACGGCTTAGACGAAATGATACAGAAATGAACATTCATTGTTCTTTCTTTTAAATATGTCATCGAATGAAGTCGTACGTCTTGGAATTAGTTTAATTTGTGATCATTTAATCAAAGAGTTGACAAAAAAGAAGCAAAGAAAATGTCGACGGTGGTGGGTGCGACCATGGATTGAAAGAATAAATTTATTAGGAGCTTCCAATACATTGTTGAGAGAACTAGCCGTTGAAGATCCTGATTCATATTGTAATCATCTTCGAATGGATGAAAGTAAATTTGAAGAAAAGTTAAAAAAAAGTTATAACTTCGTCGACAACGTGATGTCCGTCGGCTACAGGACTCGAAACAAAATGGCCGAATCCGAATGAACGTTCTCTCAGTGTTCAGACC